TAAAGTACAGCACGTACCAAACTCACTTCAAGATTCAGCAGTCTGGTCCCTGACACAAAATAAGATGTTTGCAGAAATATCACTCCAGACATGCCATGTGCGTAAAGAGAAGAAAGGTCCTGAAGTGACAGGACAGAGAGCTGGTGTGTGGCTTTTCCCCTTATTTTAACCAGTAGCAAACAGATGAATGAAAAAAACAAAAACAAAACCAACAAAACCAAAAAAACCCAGAGTGCAATGTTCATGCAAATGATTGCTGAAACTGAGAGAAGTCAATACTGATATCAGAGTTTGGATCACCTTTCAGTTTCAGGGAGACCAAGAACTTATCTGCATTTCTGTGCCGTGGTTTTCTCTTTGCCCGTCTACTGCAGCTATCGTTTCACAGTTGCAGGTGTCTCTGCTCACCTATGAAATCATATTGACAGACCCGTTTTTTTTAGGATTTTTTTATTAATTGCTTTAAATATATGTCAAGAGAAGTTTCGGTGTTTGAAGAGTCACTATAAAATAACTTTTTTTGAACAGTTTTTAGCTAATGAATTGCATTTGCATAAGTGAATCTGTACATCTACTGTTCAAAGTGACATCAGAGGTGGTAAAGGCTTTACCTAAAATAAGGATTCAAAAGAGGTAATATCTTTCTGTTAGGAATCGGATCTAGTGATTTGTAGCTTGCAAAAGAATATCCAAATTTTTGCAATAGTTCCTAGCAGTCACTGTAGTAAAGAAAGGATTAACAGGAAGGCCTCTTCTCTTTTCTTAGCAGCATGAAATTGAAACCAGTTTTTCTGCCTTTCACATTTCATTTCTTATGTGCTAGAAAGAGTATCTGTAGTTCCTCTTTTATTAACCAAGTTGTTACTGGAGAGCAGAAAAACACCTCCATTAGTCCATAGTAGGTAACTAAAAATTCATGTTATGGCCATCACTTTAACAAGTGATAAAATGAAGCAGTAGACAGGTCAAATTGTTGCTGTGGGTTTTCCCTGAATGGTGTTCGTTTGACTTTTTGCCTTGTATGGCTGCGACAGTGGGGTCACGCTTTTACTTGTGCGTTGAACAAACTAATGCTTACAAGCAGCCATTGTTTAGTGAGGGGTGCTCCTGGAGATGAGTGATGCAAATGGTTACTTTGGGATGCAAGACTTCAGATGCCACATGAAATCTAGAATGTCTCTGAAGTGACATCTGGAAGCAGTACCTTTATGTATGAACTTTTTCTTACTTTCTCACCTTTTTTCGTATTGTTTGAATGTTTTACTTTCCTTGATGGGTTTATAGGTCTTAACCATCTGAGATCAATTAAGACTTAAAACTGTCCTCTGAGAAACCATAAGTTAGGCTTTTATTCTCTAGAGTTGTGCAGGGTGGGTAGCTTTGTTTAGCTAAATCACATTTAACAGCTTCAAGGTCATATGAAATCAACATCTTCAGAGCTGTGTAATCCAGAAACTTGAAGTCTGTGAAGTCAAGCTGTGGTACCAAAAGATGCTTTGATAAGGGTGCAGGAAACCAAAGATGAAAGACAGCAACAATGCAGGACACCTGATATTGTCTGACACAGGAGACAGGCACAGATTATGAAAACCCAGTTTGCCTTTCAGTCCCATCACTTTACTCCAGCAGAAGCACTGTGTATTTGTGGGCCCAGATGAGATACATGGTGATGCAGAAGTTTTTTGGTTATGCTGTATCTCTCCAAAATTGCAGACCATGGTGTACTGTGCAAGAAACTGAGGAGGAATAAGGATAATAATTTTTGTCATCATAATGGATTTTTAGGCATCAGTTCCTTCAAGATGATGTTTTTGTGAGAAATTATTACATTTCTCCTAACTACTGACAGAATTGCATGGTGGTTCTTTTCTGTGGTCTCAGACAGCTGATCCAGAAGTCATGATGCTTAATCATAGCATGTCAGAGAGCAGTGTATTTTGTTTGGTGAGGATATGTTCCTGCTCCGCATGTTAGATATGCGCTACTCTGCCTAGTGTTGACTTACTGTTTTTATTCTCAGTTAACCTGAAACTCAAATGTGTTACCATAATGACTTTCTAAATGTTGTAGTTTATGGTGAAACATCATTTCTGAGAGGTGTGTCACCTTCACAGAGGGTGAGAAATTCTGTAATCCATAACATTTTTTTACAAATTTTAGATATAGATCCAAGGTGTTTCTCTAGTTTGCAATTCTCTATCTTGTGTCTATCAAAACAAGAGTACATAGAGTGGTATGTGCCTGTGACACCTGCAGTTCCAGTGTTTGGGAATGATATGTGTGAATCTGCTTCTAAATTTGGGGGTTTTTTCAACGCTTTGTAGTGCAGCAAGCCATCAAAATCTTACTAGTAAAAAGCCACTCCTGTGCTTTTGTGTTTCAGATTTTCTTTTTAATAGAGACTACATTTGCTGTCATAATGCCCTTTAGTGAAGTTCATTTGAGGATCCTGTTCCCCTTATTTGCAGTTCTTGAAAAACATGGGGCTGCTCCCTGAACTCACACGGGTATTAAGTTAGGAGCCACCTTTGTTTGCTTGAATGGAGTCAGCCTGTTTTTGCACTGCTGTGAAAGCACAGTCCCCTCTGTACTTTATTATTGCTGAAGAAGATGAGGCGGGTTGGGAGCAGGGGTAGAGTACAATCCAACCTATTTTCAGCTGGAATGCTTTTAGGAGCCTAACCAGTTGGCAGAAAATCTTAATCATTGTGTATGTCGTGCTCAGGAAGTTGAGAAGCAAGAGTTTGCAGAAGAACCTTCCTTTTCTTATCCAAATCGAGGGATCAATACAATATAAGCAATAAATTGCAGCTGGGTGCCGCAGGGGAAATGTGAAATGGCCGTAGGCTTAGGAACTTTTTACTAATCCTGCATTTTCTATTTTTTGGAGAGATGGTAAAATATTACTATAGGCATATTTCTCCTCCACTGAAGTGCTTGTTGGACTTTATAAGGTTAAGCTTTTTCTGACATTTGTGTTCTAACTGGAGTACACAGAGCTATGCTAAAGGCAAACAGACAAGATTTTTTTTCTTAGTTTTCCTTTTCTGCTCTGTGATGCTCCTTACTAAATATTACCATTTTCTCTCCTTTTTTTTATGTGACAAACAGGATTTTAAACGTCACTCTGGTTTGGGTCTAGATAGTCTTCCCTAAAGTCTGCTTCATCTGTAAATTTTTTCCCCCATCTTCATTATCCAAGAGTGGCAGCATTTCAGGATTAAGAGAAGAGAAAATGAACTTTAAAAGAAACTAACAATGAGCTTCTGTAAAGTAGGTGTGGTGACAGCAGTGTCTTAAGTGTGTTTTAAGAACAGAAACATAGGTTTTTCTGAGATCGTTTAAGTTTTGTGACAGCTCACGAGAATGTGATGAAATGTACTGGTTGAGGGTTTTGAGGCTGTTGATAGAGTTTTACTGAAAATCACTCTCTTGGTCAAATAGGAAATCTTCCCTTAGAAGAGCAGTAGTTTTAAGTTGACACTGTTTTCTTCATCTGCCATGCACAGTGGAAATATCAGTGAATTTCAGAAACAGGCAAAACTCTGTTTCTGAAAAGAAAACAGGAAGCCTGAAGGATGTGTAGCTTGGTTCTTTGACTTCCAGTGAAGGCTTTCCTGGAGGAATACTAAATCTCCATTTTCTGTCCTCTCCATGAGTATAGTAGTAGAAATTTGGATCAAGGAGTGGAAAGAATGAAAGGTTACTAGCAAGAAATTAGTAGGAAAGAATAGGGGTCACTGGAAAGCTATATAAAGATGGAAAAAGTGATCTTAGAGCTTGGAAGATGAGACAGCTACATGTGACGTAAGGCATGTGGGGATGTGTTGAAATGTGAAGCAGGCATTTCAAAATGATGCTTTTTAAGAAGGAGAAATCATTTCCGCAGTGGCATGCAAAGGCTGAGATTAAATGAACAAGACCAAAAAAAAAAAAAAAGACGTAACTGACTCAGAAAAGCATGTGGAGCGCAACTTTCCTATGGCACTTATCTGTTCTTTCTTGGCTTGGTAAGTAAGTTTTGCCTTTGAAAAAATGAAACAGCGGCCAGGAAAGTTACTAGCATTGTACTTATGATTACACTGTGGTCTCAGTTTGAAAAATACCAGTTAGGTTTGGGGTCATTTTTGGTATATTTGTTGGATGCTGAACACACTTAGCGTGAGTGCTTTTCCAGTGACTTACAGAAGAGGAATTAGTAGATACAGACAGCAATAGGTGTCTCTCCAAAATTCTTTCTGATGCCTTATTGGGGGGAGGGGGGGAGGGAAGCTGCAGTACCCTTAGTCTGGAATTTTTAAAAGGCATTTATTTGCCTTTTACATTTTTCTCCCCTTTTGTTTGGCTTTCTTTGTGCAAACAAATAGAAACGTGGGGGAGCTGATCTAACTTTGACAAACATAGTTATGGAAATAATTTCATTCTGTTTGATCATCTGATCAAACTTTACATGGCAATTCAGTATATTCACCTACAGCAAATCTGCCTATGTGGAGAGGGGGGGGACTATGGTCCAAATACGCTAAGGATAAGAATGTCATAATGTTTAAGTTAATTTCCTAACACAGAAGAAAAGTTCATGTGATCACCAAACTGTAAAGCTGTAATTGTTGAGGAAATAAATGTATCCTAAATTCCTGCAAGTAATTCAGAGTACTCTTCTGTGAGGGTTTGGGGGAGTTTTTTGGTGTGACAAAAACCCCAAAACATTAACACGATTCCAATGCTCTGTTGGTGACCATCATTCTTTGCAAATGTGTACGTGGTCTGTTCATTAGCCTTCTTGCTGAATTCTAGTTTGTGTGGTCAAGTGAATTGTTCGGCTGTTCTGGACCAAATACCAATGTGCCCTTCTCCTGCAAATCTGTTGTGAATGGTCACATAAGCAAGTGGTGTTGTGCAAACTCACAGTCTGGTTTTGTAGCAGCTGAGGGGCTTGGGAGTTGACTGCATACCCAGTTCTCTTGTTATTTTCAACAACTTTTTTCCTTTCCTACTAGGAGCAAATGCCAGCATGACTAAGGTCTAAGAGACGTTCTCCTGAGTTCCTGCCACGGGTTTGCAGGTGCAGAGGAAGGGTGCAAGGACAGCAGGGACATTTTGAGATACCATGGATATCCCCACCGATTTGGTGCCATCCTCCATGATGTCACAACCTGAGGTGATTGAGGTGAGTAGACCATGATGAAACTGGCAGCTACACTGACTGAACCTTTTTCTTATTTCTTCATTGAATCCTATCTTTTTCTCCTGTCTCACTTCTGAATTTTTCCTGAAATATTGTTAACAATGCTTTCATACTTTGAGATACGACATTGCTGTGTTATACTATTATTTGTAGAAGAAAATATATGGCAAAATACAGATAACAGAATCATAGAATCACCGAATCATCTAGATTGGAAAAGATCATGAAGATCATCTAGTCCAACCATTAACCTCAAACTGACAGTTCCCAACTACACCAGATCCCTCAGCGCTATGTCGACCCGACTCTCAAACACCTCCAGGGATGGGGACTCCATCACTGCCCTGGGCAGCCCATTCCAACGCCCAACAACCCCTTCTGGAAAGAAATGCTTCCTAATATTCAGTCTAAACCTTCCCTGGAAAAACTTGAGGCCATTCCCTCTTGTCCTATCGCTTGTTACTTGGTTAAAGCGGCTCATCCCCAGCTCTCTGCACCCTCCTTTCAGGGAGCTGTAGAGGGCGATGAGGTCTCCCCTCAGCCTCCTCTTCTCCAGACTTAACACCCCCAGTTCCCTCAGCTGCTCCTCGTACAACGTGCTCCATACGATCTCTACTGATTCCATGCGGGTGGTCCCTGCAGTATGGTTTGATTTTTACTGTGCCTAATGAATACAAATTAGAAGGTCATAATGTGGTTCAGTTGGAATAATACCACAGGAAATTTCAGGTTCACTGTTCTTATCAGAAAACCTAAAGTTTTAAGCCACAAGCAGCAGTAAAATTAATTATATACTTAAAATTACTAACAAACTAATCTTGCTTTTGTGAACAGAAGTGTGTTGATATTTATAAATATCTGATTTATTCAGTTCCATGTACTGAACACTAAGTACTTCTGTTTGTAGTATTTACTTCACAAGAAAACAACAAACGGAGATGTTAATAACAGTCATTCCATCTCAGAAAACCATTATCAACATCCCTTTGACTTCACAGAGACCCAAATGTCTGTTACAACGTAAAACTTTTAAGGACATAAATTTTTTACTGATGAGGGCACCACAGTTGATTAAGGCACATGTCAGAAAATTGCAGATCTAATGTTTATTTTGCTTGCTTTTTTTTGTTTGTTTGTTTGTTTGCTGAAGATTCTTAGGCTCAGAAGACTGCATCTCTTAGCAGTATGCTCTGAGAAGGGCAATAGTTCAGAGATCCCTGGACCCTATGAAGTTTCAAAAAAGCGTCCACTAATAGGTGGTGATGTGAAACAAGCTGAATCCAAAATCTGCTTTGGAGAAGCTTCTTTGTGCTCCTCTCCCTCCTGTGTTTCAACTGGACAACTAGTATATCTTAAAAGTATTTTTGTTGCTTTTAAATTCTCTGTCCCTGTTAGGGTCAGAGAAGAATTTTGTGTCTTTACAGCAGAACAGAATACCTGGAAGGAGGTGGATGCTGCATGCTTGTGTCTTAGGCTGCTTGGCTGTTGCTGAACTCCTCCCTTTCTGGAGAAAGGCTGCCTCAGGCCATCTCAGCATGCTCTGAAAGGCACCTGCACACCTGTCTCCACAGGTTCTCTCTTCAGACCCTTATGTATGAGAAATTTGTTTATCTAAGGATTGTTGTTCAGGGTAAATGCCTTCTCGAAGGGAAAATAAGATCAACTGTGGTGCAAGAATGAGTGGAAGAGAAACTATCACTTGTAAAGGACATGATGATCAGCATAGTCACCATTCTGTTATATTTAGGGATGAATAAATACACATGTCCTGCATCTGCAGAGTTTCTGCTGAATAAATCCTGCCCTAGACTTGCATCACTTGACAAAAGACTAGAGATAAATGGATGATTCTGGTCATTGACTGCTAATCCAGACAGCTCTCCCCCCCACACTTTGGTTTTAGAAACTGCACTTCAATGAAATTTGTTTTGGGAGCCAAAAAGAAATGGCATTAGGAAGCAGAGGAAAGACTGGTATCTCAGTGTGGGAGATTATGGTAGAAAATAGCATTCTCTTAATCTCATGTTTTCAGAGGGGACTTAAATTTGATATCCCTATGGGCAGACTTATATGAATGCATGAATTCCCACAGGTTTCAGTAAACCATTGTAGATCTGATAGCTGATACAAGTCTTCAATCCTATATAAAGGAGTAATAGCTCCAAACAATCAGCTGCAAGCCACGTATATGTTTCTGAGGGTAAGGAAGTGATTTTTAACAGGCAAGGACATAGCGAGATGCATAGCTAAAGAAACAAATAATTAGAATTAAATTACATTGAGGTAAAGCACTTTCAGACTAAGATTGCATGGGCTTGCCTTTCATGTTTGTGTTGATATACAAATTAATTTTGGATATAGTTCAGAAAACTATATCCATTAAAGTGCTGCTTTTTTTTGGGGGGGGGGGG